CGGGGCGGCCTGGCCGCAGGCCAGGCCGCCACGGGGACACGTGGCGTGACAGTCTGTGCGTCTGTGAGTTCCTGCGTTGCCATTGGTGCGCTCTGTAGAAGCCGCCGTACTGATTGGTGTGCTTAATATTTTCAATTTTTCCGATGTGCCTTTGGCGGGAAAACAAATTTTGGGCGCACGGGGTCGACACGGCGTACACGTCACGGCCACGTGAGGGGCGGCCTGGACGCAGGCCAGGGTGCCACGGGGACACGTGGCGGTGGCAAGTGGCGGGGGGCTGCGAGGCGGCCTGGCCGCAGGCCAAGCGGCCACCAAGGACACGTGGCGGCTACGGGATGGGCAGAAATTACGGGGGTCATTTAAAAATTCGGCATGACCTCAGAGGCGGCAGCGGCGAGGGGAAAGGGTGTGTCACTGGCGGGGGGCGAGGGGGCCCGCATGGCTGTGGTACAATTGCCAAGTGGCGCTACTGCACTAGGCGGGCGCCAGAGGCCTCGCCAAGTACAGTAGTAAGATGTTAACCGATACGGTGCATACGTGGCCAGCACGTGTAGATGTGGCCACGTGGGAGTCCACGTGTAGTTAGTGGCACCAGCTAGTGCAGGTGTACACGTGGTGCGCGACCGATCGGTGGGTTAGTACAGTAGTCATTTTTAGTTACCGTAAGCTACAGTAAGCTGGCTACAGTATGTACAGCTACTGTAGTCCGTCCGGTGCCACCGCCCTACTAGGGGGTATAAGATAGGGGGGCACCGGGCTGGAGGTAAACCGAGGCAAGCACGCCTCCCCTTACTTCCTACCCTAGTCCTTTACCGTACGGTTAAGTAAGTCCCTCAGGTTTCCGGCTCGCCACCGGTCGTACTGCTCTACACCCCAGTACGACTGCGCGTGTCCAGTGCGGTGTACCTCCCTTGTCCTGTGCTTCCTACCGTTCCGGATTATTCTACCTGACGCTCCAGTGTAGCGGTCCCCCAAGCTCCCTCATTTTAGGTACAGCCTGTCCTTTTCCGTTTACGGTTTAGCGTCCCTACGGTTGTACCACATTTTTGGTACTCTTGTGGAGGGCCGCCTGGGGTTTCTAGACTCTCACCGTCGAGCTCAGGAAAGAAGACATTCGATTTGGTACGTGGACAAGTTGAAAAACACGTATCAACCCCCGGTTCAAGCAAGAAGTCAAGATGAATCCGACCGGAACCGCTGCGGAAGACTGCGGTTCGGGACGGGGCAGTACTCGCTCCGGCTCAGCCCGGGCGAGTACGCGCAGCGGACCACCCGGGTCCGTGCGCCCCCGTGGCGAAAACCCGGAGTCACTGCTACGGGTGACAGCCGGTACAGGGCAGAACCCAACCAATACGGAGGTGACGGCCCCTGGGGCCGTCCCGGCCCTCGCTGGTCGAGCGGGTACCGAACACCGCTCCCGGTGGGCATTAAATACCCTCTGGCCGCGCATGCAGACGTGGCTGGAGGAAGCTCTCGTTAAAGAGGTTCCTCGTCACGTCGAGGGTGCAATTAACCGAACGGTTCCGCCGCTTGTTGACGAACAAGTCCGGGCCGTCGTCACGCCCGTCATCGACGACGTCGTGGGTGCCCTCGTAGAGCGTGAGCTCCGAGAGGCACTCGACCCTGGAGATCATCTTACACCGTTGGGGCTGAGTCTCCAGACAGCTATCAACATAGCTGTCGAGGCTCGCCTCGCCAACTTCAATCCGAACGGTACTGTAGCTCAGGCACCTCAACTTCCTACAACCGCTACGGCACCTCTCAAATTAATAAGAACCGGAACGGGAGATACAAGACCGACACAGGTATATATGGCCCCTCACCCGGAGGCGAGCCCTCACCCGGAGGACCCACCTATATACCTGCCCGAACTTCAGGGTGTTACACGGGGTCCGACAGATAAGGACCCCGCGACCTATGACCGATACGGAAGACACCCTCGCCATGAGACAGAAAATCTGACGAGGTATGGCGAGACAGAAAATCGCTTGTCTCTCCGTTAGGGTCCCAAGTCCTGACGCACAAGGCGCGGGCCATTACCGGAGGAAGAGGAGGAGTACTCCGAAGAAGAACCGTACGGTGACAGAAAAGCCGTCCGGCAAGATTACCGTCGCTATAGGTCTCGGGCTGGAGCCCGTCGTCGAGGAGGTGATTTTCCCTCCGACGGAAGCTCGCCTGATTCGACCAGCGACGAAGGTCGGCGCCACCCGGGCAGCCGGCGAGACCGTAGCCACCGACGCAAGTGGTCCGGCTCAGAGGGCTACAGTACAGACCCCGAGCCGCACGACCAGGGGCGCCGACCGGGTAGAAGTCGTCGGACTACCGAACGGTCAGCCCCCACCAAGAGGGTCGATGTGATTAAACCGCTTAATGATTTATTCACCAAAGCGGTTAATTACAAGACCTACCGGTTGGAACGTCGCAGCGCCCGGTATAATTCCGAGGTCGCGCGCCATATCAGCCGTATCCGCAAGAAGCTGGACGTGCAGATGAAATCTCACACGTTCAGTGGACAAGATCCGATAGCGGTTTTGGGCTTCCTTGCCCGGTTTAAGATGGCTTGCGACCATAATGGGGTAAGCCAGGGAGCTGCCGTATGGTGCTTCCAATTCTACTTAACCGGACAGGCGCATGCTCTACTGCAGTCCCGCCTTATGGGTAATACCATGGCGGTGGACGCCGAGAAACGCGACATGCTCGAGAGTTACGAGGAGGTAGTCAATTTCCTTTTACGGACCTACGCTACCGATGAAACTATCGCCGAGGCCTACACCGAAGTGGTTTCCTTCCGTCAGAGTTCTAACATGACGGAAGAAGCCTACAGCAATCAGCTGTGGGACAAGGCCCTCCGATGCAGTACTGTCTTCTCAGACCGTCGGCTCAAGTCGCTGTACGTCAAGGGATTGCTCCCAGCGACGTGCGCGCAAGTGCGGAATTATCTAGCGACGCACGCCACGGTAGACTACCAGGCGGTCGCTAGGTACGCACAAGCCATCGGGGAGACACACCGTTCGGCAAGGCGGCACTTATTGCCATCGAACGTCGCGTCCCGTGACGCTACAGGCAAGATTGCCTTTAACCGCTCGGCAAGAAAGACTCCGGTGTTGTCCGTCGAGTCCTCGTCGGAGGCTGCCTATACAGGCGCCTCACCCAACGCAGAAGGAATATTGGCGATGGCGAGCCCCACAATACACGCAAGTACCGTGAGCTCGCCGCCAAAAAGTTTCCATCCTTCTCCGGTACCGTCAGTGGGAGGGGCTGTAGCCCCAACGTCCACTGTAGCCGGTTATGGCCGCCGCTACGGAAGCGGGGACCAACGCGCAAGGTGGGGACCGCCTCCGTGCCGGTTCTGTCTGGACCCCACTCACCGACAGGAAAGCTGCCCTATTGTCGCGGACGCCTCGCTGCGAGCCCAGCTCCTAGCAGCGAGGGAAGCGAACTATCAAAAGTTACGCATCCGACAGGGGCTCCGCCCTGGGTCTCCATTCAGTCGTCCACAGGGACCGGTGTGGCGAGGAAATCCCTCATCTCAAACCACGCCGGTCGACCTGGTGGACGAGGGGGTCGACAAGGCGGAGAAGCTGGTCGCTGAGGAGGAGGAGGATCTCCAACTCACGGGGGAGGACAGGGAGGACGCGTAGAGGCGACGTCGTCAAAACTCCCTGTCTGCCTCACCCCGGAGGATCCTTCCCCCTCAACTCAGGCAGCAGAGCCGAACCGAACGGAAGACGCGCCGACCGAAGCGGAACCTATTTGCTTCTTCAAGAGGCAGAACTATAAGGTTTCCGCCACGGTAGGGCTGCGACAAGCAAATATGCGGGCACTGACCCCAGTCCTAGACTCGGGGGCAGCGCCCAACCTCATTCATATACGCTGTGTGGCCGAGCCATGGCGCGCGGCCATCCGTCCGGTAAAGAGCGCACCGCTGGTGGACGCCTCCAATCGCTCAATGAGCGCCCTTGGACAGCTTACACTGTACGTCCGCATCGGAGATTTCACAGCCAGGGTCAAGTTTCTCGTGGTCACTCGCCTGGCAGTGGATTGTATATTAGGGACCACCTTTATAGACCAACATATCAAGGCAATTCTACCACCGCGACGGAGGGTTCTCTTCCATCATGCCCCCTCAGTCGCACTTACAGGTACGACGCCATCCAAATTTGCTCATAAGGAACACCGAACGGAAACAGAAAAATCGCCCAGAACCAAGCCGTTTCCGAGCAACACGCCGTCTCGGAAAATACGCATGGTGCGGGGAATTACAATACCCCCCATGACGCAAGCAACCGTACGGGTGGCGACGCCGGTCGCCAGGCTCTGCTTCTTACAGAACCATCCCCGCACGGCAGAGAAGAACCTGTCGCTTATGGCGCAGGGAGTCATGGATATAAG